TATTCAACATCAATTTTAATGGACCGCCCAGTAAAGCATTGGAAAAGATAAGACCTTTTAAAGCAAAAATTAAAATAGGACATCATCAAAAGGGAGGAGGGGGGCTAAGTGTAAAAGAAAAAAATAAAACCTACCAAAACAAATTAAAAAATGAAATTGCATTCATTGTCCAAACACAATTTCTTTGGGGAGGGGGTGTTAGGAAGTCACTTCTTTTAGTACCATTCTTTCAAAACACTATCACTCAGTGATAGCTAAACTAATCCCCCTGTTCCGATGCCTATGAAGAAGGATATGGAGATAAGGAACAGTATTCAATCTCAGAGTCCATAAAACAATACAAAATAAGAGCAGAGCAAACACGGACCTCCGAAACATCAGAAATGGGATCGGGTGCCATTTAGGTGTGAGCCTCCCCTGCTGACCGGTCACTCTCGCCGTGTGCTCTTCGTCATGATCAGGAAATAACGGAAAAATCCGTCGTCAATTCAGTGTATAAATAATTGACTAACAATTAGTATGAAAAACGTCAATTAGCATTTCACTCAATGATAAATTGTATTTGCTGACATATCGACCATAGAACTTACGAAATGATGACTTTAAACGAAACGGCTTATATTCTAGTTTCATCAACTTGCTTGTCAATAATTTACCTTGTTTTAGAAATTGTTCAGACGTACAGCAAGCTCTTGCGTATCGAATCAACTGAGATATATACACTCCGTACGCATGTGGTGAAGGTATATTTCTGCATAAGTAAGGGAAGTTGACGATAGAAAAGTAAAAGTCATCACGTTTATCATATAGCTTGGTTGTTAGATTACTTATAATGTCTTTTTCAAGTAAAATATCCAAGTATGTAACAGATATGTAGGAAACAAGTTTTAAACGTATAACAAAAAATATATTTCATTTTGATAAATTCTGGTCGTTGCTGGCTAGGAATGATATTCTTTACTCACTGATAGATTTGTAATATTAAAATACAAAAAACTGGAAAGATATGTGCAAAACTTAAAATACCAGGTACTCTCTTTCTGCACTTCCTAATATATTATTTTTCAGTTTTGATCTTTGACCTTTGACCAACATTCATGTGAATGCTTTTCTATATTTTACCGGTTTTCTAGGTTCTAAAAAGGAGGATTTCGGTTTTAGGACTCTAAATAGATAACGGGCACCATCAATATCTTTAATTTTAAATATATCAGTTCTTCCCAGCCCCGTGGGGATCCGGGTTAAAATAGGTCCTCAGTACCCTCTTGCTTGTCGTAAAAGGCGACTAAATGGGGCGGTCCTTCGGATGAGACCGTATAAACCGAGGCCCCGTGTCACAGCAGGTGTGGCACGATAAAGATCCCTCCCTGCTCAAAGGCTCTGAAATCCGAGCATAGGCCTAAATTTGCAGCCCTTCACCGGCAATGGTGACGTCTCCATATCAGTGAAATATTCTGGAGAGGGACGTTAAACAGTATACAATCAATCAATCAATCAATCAATCAGTTCTTCCCGTAATTCTATATATAGTTTCAAATAAGAAATCACAATATTTCATCAAAATCAACATTAATTATATAAAACTTAAGACCTTTCAACTTATATAAAACCACATCCAGCGATAAATAACAGTCCAGGCTTTTTCATCATTGACAGCTGCTTTTTTAATTAAAAAATGGAACTCGAAAATAAACTTACATGTTCCTTGTCATTGGTCATTTGCAAAATTATTTTGATCTAAAAACAATCTGTTTGTACACACAAGTACTCTGGAAATGCTTGAGATTCTGATTGACAATATCTATGTGTTTTGTTTTTGTTTTTGTTTTTGTTTTTTTTTGGAGACAAGGTATTCTAACAATTCATTGGACCACTTTATCAGCAGACCTATTGTTGTACTCATGTGAAACAGAATTTGTTAGAAAATCTTATACGTAAAAAAACCATTTGGTATGGCCATGGCCTTCAATTCGACATTTAAGATATATCGACGACGTATTGTCAATCAACAATGGTTATTTCCATTCTTATGTCGAAACTATATATCCCGTTGAGCTTGTAGATACCATAGAGTCTGACACATATGTTTCATATTTGGATATTTTATTTAAAAAGGACATCCAAGTTGATCTAACAACAAATCTTTATGTTAAACTTGATAATTTTAACTTTTCAATCAACTTCCCTTACTTATGCGGCAATATACCCTTATCACCTGCACATAGAGTTTGTATCTCGCAAATGCTTCGATACAAGGTAAGTTAGTGACAAACAATTCAATAAAACAATAATTTCGGTAGACTCGTTTAAAGCCTTATCCTAGCTGCGTTTTTAAGGTCTTCCGTTTCAGACGGAAGACCTTATAGTGATTCTACTGTTTTTTCTTTTTATTATTATTATTTTTTTCCCTTTTTGTTTTGACGATTTCTCAGAGATGACTGGATGGATTCAGATGAAATTTTCAGAGATGATAGAGAGGAAAAATATTTTTCAAATGCAGTTTTCAGTTTTTCAAAACCCACTTCCGGTCGTCAGTTATGTCCGATTTCCGCTTTTTTCAAAAAAGTTTTGTCCCAGTCATATCTCAGAAACGGTGAGAGATTAAGACACCAAACTTATATGAGTAATAGATCTTGATTAGTAAGCAAAACCAATTGGGTTAACATCGTGCGCCGTCACTTCCGGTTGTCACAGGAAGTGATCAAAGAAATCGAAAATTTCAACTTTTTATTTTTTGAAACTTTTTTGCATCACATTATAGCATGTTGTTTGTAGTTTCGAAATATATCAGTCCCACCGGAAACAAAAACGACAACTTCCGGTTATAAGAAAAACTGCATATTTTCAGTATTTTTCTCTCCCATAAATATTTTTTATACGTAATGTATTTGAAATGATTTTTGGATATGTTATTCAGACTGCAGATGTCTACAGTAACGTCAAATATCTTTGTAAAAGTCACTTCCGGTCGCGTGATTTTCTGTCCTCAAAATGAGAAGTTATCATAGCTAGATCTCGTAAACGGTAAAAGGTAAAGACACCAAACTTATCTAGAGTGATAGATCTTGATAAGTAGGCAAAATCAGTTGTAATAAGATCGTCTGCCGTCACTTCCGGTCTTCACAGGAAGTGATCCAAAAAATCGAAATTTTCAACTTTTCTTTTATGAAACTGTTTTAGCCTCACATTACAGCATCTTATTTGTTGTTTTCAATTATTTCAGTACCACTGGAAACAAAAAGAGACAACTTCCGGTTAAAAGAGGGAAACTACATTATTTCAGTATTTTTCTTTCCAATAAATATCATTCATTTATAAAGTATTTGTAAAGATTTTTGGATATGCTATTCAGACTGCAACTGTCTACATTAACGTCATGAAATTTTTGCAAAACTCACTTCCGGTCGCGTGATTTCCTGTCCTCAAAATGAGAAGTTATCATAGCTAGATCTCGTAAACATTGAGAGATTAAGACACCAAACTAAATAAAGTGGTTAATCTTGATGAGTTGGCAAAAACAATTAAGATAAGATTGTCTGCCGTCACTTCTGGTCGTCACAGGAAGTGATCAAAGAAATCATGAATTTATCTTTTTTTTTTAGGAATACTATTGCATCTTAATTGTTGTTCCGATATATGTCCGTCCCAAAAGAAACAAAAACAGCAACTTCCGGTTATGAGAGAAAAACTTTATTAATTGAGTATCATACTATCCCATAAATGTATTTTATAGAATGAGTACTACGAAACTACTTCCTTCAACCTTAAAATGATAAGTTTACTAAAACCTTTTTTGTTGTCGAACTCGATGGCTCAGTGGTTAGCGTTTCAGACTTTCATTCTGGTTTTGGGATCGAGCCTAGATCGAGGATTCTTCTTTTTTTGCATTTTGTCCTTTATTTTTTTAAATAGAAAAATATCCTTCTTACAGATAAATAAAGAAGTCTGAAGAACGGAAGACCTTATTTGTTGCTGTAGCAACAAGAGTATCTAGTTTTATTCATTCTAATTGTTCGGCCATTATTTACACACTGAATTGTCGACAGTTCTTCTTTTTTTGTATTTTCCAATCATGACAAGGAGCACACGGCGGGTGTGACCGGTCGGAAGGAGATGCTCTCCTCCTTGGCACCTGATCCCGCCTCTAATGGTTTATAAGTCTGTGTTTGCTCTGCTCCTGCTTTGTATTGTTTGATGGACGTTTGAGCTTGATTACTGTTCGTTATCTCCATATATTCATAAACTCAATGTTCATTTTCTTTGATGTATGTACATGCATGATACCACTTATTAAATCATAAGTAAAATATAAGTAAAATAATTACAATGCAATTTTGCATAGATGTTGTATCAGAATATAGCTAATAGGAATAATGTGAAAGTGACGCTTGTTTATAGGGCGTGACTATAAATACAGGAGTTAAAGAGGTTCTGAGCAAATTATCACATGAGATAAGCAATTTTTGTCACATTACAGTAGTTTCGGGTACAGAGTGCTTCAGGTGTCTAATTTGAAATTAACATGCCTCAAATATACTGGACAAAATGAGTAACTGATCATATTTTTACCCAAGAAAAATATTTTTATACCTATCAATAAATGTTACAAGGCTTGAATAACACATGTCTGGTGAGTCAAGAAAGTACGTGGCATTAAGAATCGAAGTAAGTGGAACAATAGGAGAACAGAAGGCCAAAGAGTGTTGTCATTGGCGTTCTGTTTTCCTCTCAGACGAGTATCACTCCTTTTGCAATACAAATGACGTAGATAAAGAAACTTCCTTTTGTCCACAAAAAAGATGATTCTATAAAGCCCCAAGGGTGAAAGACCAGTAAAACTTCTGCCTTGCATTGTTTTAGTTTTCCCTCCTTCTGTCTAGCTGTTCATCTATAAACTATATGTGATCATTTATTTAAAAGAATTAAATTTCATAAAAACATAATCATATGCACATCTTGCCTTGAAGAGACTGATATTTTTTTCCAGACTGTATTACACTAGCGCAGGGGAGTTCCACTAGGATATCATGCTCAGCAGGGTACTACCTGGATATCACGTCTGGGTCCTGGAAATGTCCGGGGGGTTGGGGTTGCAGTGGTAGTCGAAATGTCCATTCCCAAATGGATTCTAACTGTAATTATCCTATTGGCAGTAGCTGTACTATATATGCCACCAACACCTGGCTGGGTGGAAATCCATGTTCAGGGTGTACTAAATCATTGGTGTGGTATTACAGTTGCAGAAGTAAGTATCACTTCTTTTCCTATTATTTTCGTTATAGTTTCAGAAATTTCAGTATCTTAAGTTCGAGTTTTTTTTAAGACTGCATCGACTCTTAAATAGCGGAATGGAATTTTATAATGTAGCCTTATATGAAGAAAAAAGCACAATATCTTGGATTTAATTATATTTACTGCAAATATTGTACATAAAGTATACTGATGTTTCCTTAAAATGTGTATTTCCATGCCAGTCCAAAATTTATCTTTACTTTTTTGTCACCCGCTTTTTCGAAAGCGAGGGTACATTAAATATCATTCAATCCTCGGTCAGTCTATCTCGGACAAAAACTTTAAGTTTGGTCATAACTTTTGAAAGAGAAAAGATAAGGCTTTTATATTTCACATGTACATTACCTACAACAATACCTTTCTAAATATCTGATGATTTTTGACCCCGTGACCTTAAAGTTTGATGTACTTTTCAAAAATTTAACATTACTTTAAATTGGTTATGACTTAAGAATGAGAAGAGAAAGGACTTTTATAATATATTATACATGTACATGTCTATTATATTACCTTCGACAAGACCAAAATATACTTTTATTTTTTGACCCCTTAATTTTAATATTTGATATACTTTTCAAAACTTTTATCTTTGCTTATAACTTTTAATTAGAAGGATAAGATTCCATATATTAAATGTACAATACCTGTGACAGTTTTTTTCCCCAAATATACAATGATTTTTCACCCTATAGTTGAGGTATGACCTTTCTAAAAAAAATAATTATACCTGCAATTGGTCTTAAAATTTGAATGGGTAAAAATAGGGCTTTCATATAACACTATCTGTGACAAGACCTTCCAAAATATACTATGGTTTTTTAATCCCGTGCCCTTATCTTGAAGTTTGGCCTACTTTGCAAAAAATTTATCTTTGCTTAAACTTTTTAACTGAGAAAAGAAGTGCTTTCTTATTTGACATGTATATTATCTGTGATAAGATGTTTACGAGCTACTATGTTTTTGACGCCTTGGCCTTGAACTTCATATTTGACCTAATTTTCAGAGATATTAACTTTATTAAGCGGTGGACCACAATTCTTTGAATTTGCTTGATCTTTATATAATCCATGTAATTTCGATTAATAAATGGCCTCTTTGCTAATTCTCTGACATTCTGAAATTTTAATTGAATATACTGTTATAGAAAGATTTCTGCTTGTATTTTGTTATACATTTATAATGTACTTGTATCTTAACCTTTATAGACATAATCAATATATTTGTTGTGTATTCAGCAATATGGAGTGGATGGGGGTCATGGTCGTCCTGTCCCGGGGACTGCTCGACTCAGTCAATAGTTAGATACAGATCTTGTGTCAGGCCAGGGGGAGGATGTGGAACAGCTCCCTCACAATCAATGGGCTGTCTAACATACGGCTGTACTTGTAAGTAAATAACCTTGAATTTATGAAAATATCTTGAAAGAACAAGCTTCACATAGAATTTTTTTTTGTTCTAGAAATATCTGGGGAAAAAAATAAAACTTCATAATTTAATTAGTTAGCATTTCTAAATATATATGAAAATGCTTAATTTTAGTTGAAAATACATAAAATCTCCTTTTAAACCCTGGTAACTGCGTATCTATCAAAAATGGTTGTGAATGCACCATAACGTCATGAATTGCGCCATTTTACTGATAAATATTCTGAGTTCTACAAAAACTGCGAATGATTTGAAGCTCTTTTTTCAATAAAAAGCGCAACCTCTGATCTAAAATTTGCAATTATTTATTGATAGAACTGTTTCTAAGGATTACAAAAATTGTTTCATTTTTGGATGGAGGAGTGTGCTCATATATTTATTCTCCGCTGAATATACTCAGATAAAACCTGTTTTCTATAAAATTAAAGAAAGTTGCAATTTTCCAAAGCTTGTTTTTTAAATTCCTAAATTTTAAGAGGAAACATTTTTGAAAAGAAAAAGAAAACTGTAATTATTCAATTAAATTTGATATTGTAATGGAAAATAGATTCAATTGGCTATTGTTGTTTACATCAGAGATTTGGCCCCTGAGGCTCTCTTCTTTGATATCAAAGGGTGCGTTATTTATTTTTTTTTTTGTCAGGAAAACTAATTTCAATTTTTCATCTTTTTGGCGTTAAGTTAGATTTATCGGAGAAAGTATATCAATATCCAACTAGTTACATATATTTGGGTAGGAAAAATTGATAGTGTCAAAGTGTGGTTATTTTGTCCCAAATTTAACGCAATTGGGAAAAAATGGAAAAATATTTAATTTTTCCAAAGTGCCTTGCCACAATGCATTAATTCACGGGTACTGGAAGTTAATGTAAACATTGAGTATGTGCACGTATAGATTTACATGTACATACTAAATATTTAAATTAACTTTCGGTGTCCGTGCATTTATCCAAGGGTTGGATCGAATTAAATGCTTCAGGTCCATTTCAAAATAGCGTATTAAAAAAATTGAGGGGCAATATGAAAACCACCTTTTCTTCTGTATTCAATAATCCAGGAGAGAAAAAAAGAATTGTATAGATGACATGGTCAGTAAGTACTGGTCCCTGCTTACAAAGCAGGTAAAACATAGTCTTTATTTGTAAGGCTCACTATATATATTGTATTTTAGAAGAACTTGAATTTAATTCTACAAGTGGTAATTCAACTGAATCAGATGTGGATACCCAAGAATTCTAAAGAACTTTTGGACAATTTGAAATCAAAAGATTTTACCAAAATCAAAATCTTTAAAACTTACTGTTAAACTTTATACACAACCATTCTCCACAATAAGTTAAAGTCCAGGATTTTTGATATTATTGACAGCTTCTTTTTCAATAAAAATGGAACTCGTAAATTTACTCACCTGGTCATTTGCAAAATCATTTTGTTAAAATACATTCTGATTGCACACACATGTACTCTGAAGTTGACATCAATAAGATGTTTGAATTTCTGATTGACAATATCTTTGTTGTTTTTGGACACCATATCTTCCAACAATCTATTGGAATTCCCATGGGCAACAATTGCGCTCTGTTATTAGCAGATCTATTTTCATATTTCTGTGAAAGAGGATTTATGCAAACGCTTATATACATACAAGGAAGAAAACATTTTCTGAGGCCTTCAACTCGACATGTAAATATATCGACGACGTATTGTCAATTAATAATGTTCATTTCCATTCTTATGTCGATACGATATATTCTGGTGAACTTTAGATAAAAGATACAACAGAGTCTGACGCTTTTTTCCATGTTTTACTTGAAAAGGACGTAAATGATAATCTAGCAACCAAGCTCTATTATAAACGTAATAACTTACGTCGGCAGGGGATGCTCATTCCTCCATCGCACGTGATCCAACCGTTTTGGAGATCCGTATTTGCTCTGCTCCTATTTTGTTTTGTTTTGTTTTTTGTTTTGTCCGAAATGGACTTTGATATTGGGTACTGTTCGTTATCTCAATCCCCTTCATTGAATAAGATGTAATACTCTTGATTTTACCAGCATCCTCTGAAATCAGCAGATCTACCCCAAATGACTACACCTATTACGCCTTATCAACAAGTTGTTTCCTTGCCTTGGGGAGGACATCCTTTACTTTTAGAGCCAAGGCTAACAATGACCTTCACTTGATGTTGAATACCCATGACAATTCCTCTAGTGGTTCTTACTATGAATTCATCATTGCCGGATGGAGTAACACCAAGTCTGTATTAAGGATCGATGGAACTCAGTGTGATGAACATTTAGAATTACTTCTTAGCCAATCCTGGTACGACACTTTCTGGATTTCTTGGTCTGGGACCACAATCCGAATGGGCACTGGAACGACAGTCGGCAGCAGCGTAAAATTGAGTTGTACACATTCACCGAGACACGATGTCAAATATATCTGGATCAAAACAGCATGGGGGTCCTCAGGTCAATGGAGGTTCCCTAACGGTACGTTTAAAATATATAGGAAGTCAAGGCAACCGAAATCTTGCAATATTTATGTAAAGATTCCTTACAAATATAATGCATAATAGCATGTGTTTAAATGAAGGAAAAACTGAAGACAATTCTTAATTAGTTTATGTGATGATGAACCTCCGTGATGCACTTTTTAAATTGTGTTGTCTGTTACGCATAAACGTATATGAATCCACTCAAATTATTTTAATGCATGAAATCAATTGATATATTTTTTTCGATTTTTACCGGACGGTTTGGTTATCTGTAAAATGTTGATTTCCTGATTTTAAAAACAATTGGTTAAATTTCAGTTCAATATATACATACTACAGGTATAGGGGGTTATATTTTGTTCAAATGAAGAGTCTTCACGTTTTTGAAGGATAGATATCCATGTAGATGAAAGTCACCTTTCATTGCCTGTTATGTCAGAGTCCTATTTAGGGTTGAAAGTTTTATATATAAATGAATATGATAAACCTTTTCTAAATCATTTTTTTTCAGAAAGCAGGTACTCAAAAATATCAATGAAAATAATATTATTACTGATATCTACATAATCGGAAGCTAGTTATTTTTAACAATTAAAAGTGGCGGAATACGAAAAATGCTTAAAACCTACACACCGAGATAACTACAAAGTGATAATAATAGATAAAAAGACATATATAATTATTTAACTTGACATTTCTAATATTTATCACATTCTACACATCCCTTTTAAAGCTTTGTAATGTTTGAATAATCTATGTTTTTTTGTAGCTGGTACAGCTGGTACCATAAGAATGAATTAAATTATAAGAAATATAATTAAATTATTAGAAATTTTAAGAAATTCACGTGCTTCGGTTCCAATCTTTTAGAGGATAAATTTTAATGTATTTTATAAATATGTTAAAATACAATTGATTGCAATGTAGTTTCTTTTGTTTTCTTTTTTTTTTCCCTCCAGATGTTTCCTGTACCCATGAATTAAACAGTAACGTGAACGTTCCCACAAGTGCTACAGGTTGTAATGGAGTCAGCACTTACGCATGTAACTCAGGATACAAACAGGTTGCTGGGAACACACAGCGTACATGTTACGGAAAGTTCTGGACGGGATACCCACTTGTCTGTTCCGGTCAGGAATTAACTTTTTGTCTTTTTATGCTTACTTATTTTATCGAAATGATTATAATATATGTTTAAAACAAGAATTCAGTTGCATGTTTACTTTTTTTCAGTTTCGACCTGCAAGATTGACATCCTGTTTATTATAGAGGCTTCCTCATACACCTCTTCTATTTACTCTGAATTAGTATCGGTTATTGGTGATTTGGTGAGGACTATGCAAATTTCAACCAGTAATGTACAAGTTGGGGTGATATCCTATGATAATGCTATCGACCAAAATTTCAAGTTTAATGTTTACACTACAGCGTCGTCGTTGGACACCGCAATTACGGCATTAACAATACCAAGCGCCTCTACAACGACTAACCTGGCCGAGGCATTACGTGTTGCATTTTACGATTTTGTTAAATTGTCAAATGGAAACAGATTTCAAGCATATAAATATTTCGTTATTGTTGGTAAATCAAGCCCTACACATCCCTGTGCAGACATCGGACTCAATATACGACAGGTGGCAAAAAACCAGGTGTTCGGAATCGGTAAGAAATTAAAATTTGTTTCTATTTATAATGTTGTAGTTTTTATATTGATCATTCTATAGTTTAACATGAACTGTTGTACACCAAATATTTCAGTCAAAAAAAGTGGCTGACGCATTCTTCTTCATTTTGTTGACGTCATTGCTGATAAGTAAATAAAGTTTTAAAAGTTATACATCAATTCGAAGGTTAGTTCCTTGTATTTTTGTAATATATTGATTGAAAAATCAAGTTCTATATTCATTTATAAATTGGCCAGGCATGAAAAAGAAGACTTAAAAACTTTGTCAAAATGAATCAAAGGTATCATGTGTATGTTACACTCTCGTTTTAAGCTAAATAAGGACAGAATGAAAACCACCTATCTTTCTTCTTACAATAATATAGCAGTGAAAAAAAGATTTAGATGAATAACACGATCAGTTTGTAGTATGAGTAACAGGACTCATACTGTTTACGGATAAAATGTACTAAATCTTGTCCCTGATTTGATTCTGTGCGTATTTTTTCACATTAATTCAACTTCGGCACCCAGAAACTCACTACTGCTTTTGACTTTTGTATCTGAAAAATGAATATAAGTTACACAGACATGTAAAATCTTAATATCTATTTCGCATGCATTAAAATTTGCGAATATGTGGAGGCGCGGTTGGGTTACAACTGCACCGCCGCCATTTTGAAATTCACGAGAAAATATGGGGCACACTAAACTTAACTTCTCTTGAGGTGTCATAACAGTGTTACACTTTGGTTCACGTCAAATCATGGCTGACGGAAAATAATCCCGGAATCTTCCCTTCCGATTCGGGCATTTTGATACGAGACTGGAGCTGAATTTTTTTATGAGATGAAAAACAACATGTAAACTTCCTGTATTGACCGGATTTATTAAAATTTAGGGCGTGCTGGATTTTCTATATAACTGTCAAGTGTGGGGAGTGATTAGGCCCTGGACTAGATTTTCAAGCACCTGCTCGACTTCGACCGAAACAAACTTGCGTGCCTTGCTGGATGGCTATGTATTTTTTGCTACTAAAATCTTTATAAAGAATGGTTTTACAAGATCTGAAAAGGAAACTTCTCAGAAGTTTGTTTTGAATTAGTTACATCTACTCAAACTTGCGCCTTTTTGGTAAGAATATATAGCAGAAATTAATACTGTTGTGACACCTGCAGTAAAACCGAATTTTGTACTTAGAAATATTGTAGTCAGAGAATTAAGGTTTTATTTTGTGAGTTTAGACGGAAAATGAGAAATAATGGCATTTTTCGGCCGTCATTGCTGTTCGTTCATGTTTAATGGAGCATAGAAAATTAGTCCAGATTTCCTCTAAAATAAATTATGTTGGCCACACCACGGCCTGATTTGGATGTATCGGGTTGAGAGAAATGCATGAAATTTAAAGGACAGCTTAAAATATACCTTGCCATCACACTCATTAACATCATTTACTCATAAATAATTTTAAAATCTATAAATTAAAAAAATTTAGACCACACTCGGAGCAAAATAAAAATTCTGGATATGTGTAAATATCGGTTTATTTGGAACACATTGGTAACAGATAAAGAAATCCGGTCGGAAAAAATAATTATTGAGGCAAAGCAATCGTAATTAAGCAGAAAACATCTTAATATTTCAATAATATTTATGTTTTCGATGCTCTTTTTAACCCCACCCCCCAACCTTATGACAAAAGCTATTTCTTTCGCCCTCTTATAAAAAGCAAACTTATTTTGATCAATTTTTCATCCTCATGTGAATCAGTATGCATCCATTAAAAAATTAAAACGAAAAAACCGCACAAGTTTAACGCGCAAGATCATTACATACAGTTCAACTTTTGCCATATTTTCAGAAATCCGTGTTCACCGCGAAGCCCCCTGTCACAGAGTTTTGCCCGTAATTTTCCTATCTTGGGACGGATTTTTATGAAACTTGGTAAATACATTAAATAATCATCATAGATCGGGAAAATAGCAATATACCGGCAAGGAAAAAATTTAAGTTTAATTGCAGGTGTCATAACAGTGTTACACTTTGGTTCACGTCAAATCATGGCTGACGGAAAATAATCCCGGAATCTTCCCTTCCGATTCGGGCATTTTGATACGAGACTGGAGCTGAATTTTTTTATGAGATGAAAAACAACATGTAAACTTCCTGTATTGACCGGATTTATTAAAATTTAGGGCGTGCTGGATTTTCTATATACTGTCAAGTGTGGGGAGTGATTAGGCCCTGGACTAGATTTTCAAGCACCTGCTCGACTTCGACCGAAACAAACTTGCGTGCCTTGCTGGATGGCTATGTATTTTTTGCTACTAAAATCTTTATAAAGAATGGTTTTACAAGATCTGAAAAGGAAACTTCTCAGAAGTTTGTTTTGAATTAGTTACATCTACTCAAACTTGCGCCTTTTTGGTAAGAATATATAGCAGAAATTAATACTGTTGTGACACCTGCAGCCTTCATCTATCCCAGAAATCTGGTTAAAACACCTGACGAATTTATGCCATCAAATTTTATAACACGATCGCCTATTTTTCTTTGATTGTCAACTTTGTCTTTTTCTCACAGTTAGGTCTCTTTTACGCAATATTCTAGCGAGATTCGATAAAAACATGCTAAGTTTGACACTCGCTAAAACCATTTCAGAACAAGAAGATCTCCAAAAAAAAAAAAAAAAAAAAACAAAAAAAAAAACATATGATAGACTGTATTCTATGTAAACATTCCACCAACTGGCATTTGTGTTCGTTAGCTTGCGTTCGAGTAATAAGCAAAAGTTGTCTTGAAAATTTTCATTTGATCATATTTTGTCTTTTGTTACGTCATTTTTATGGTCAGTATATAGTAAACATTCTATATTCTAACGCCATTTTCGGAGTTATTACGTCATAAAAATTATAAAGTGACGTCACAATATGTATATATTTTTCTTTTCTTTGTTATGAGTTTGTTTGTTATGATATCAATAATTTCCGTAAAACGGTTAATTTTTTTATTACGCAATATTCTAGCGAGATTCGTTTTTTTGATGCTAAGTTTGACACTCGCTAAAACCATTTCAGAACAAGAAGATCTTCAAAAAAAAAAAAAACAAAAACAAAAAAAAAAAACATATGATAGACTGTATTCTATGTAAACATTCCACCAACTGGCATTTGTGTTCGTTAGCTTGCGTTCGAGTAATAAGCAAAAGTTGTCTTGAAAATTTTCATTTGATCATATTTTGTCTTTTGTTACGTCATTTTTATGGTCAGTATATAGTAAACATTCTATATTCTAACGCCATTTTCGGAGTTATTACGTCATAAAAATTATAAAGTGACGTCACAATATGTATATATTTTTCTTTTCTTTGTTATGAGTTTGTTTGTTATGATATCAATAATTTCCGTAAAACGGTTAATTTTTTTATTACGCAATATTCTAGCGAGATTCGATAAAAACATGCTAAGTTTGACACTCGCTAAAACCATTTCAGAACAAGAAGATCTCCAAAAAAAAAAAAACAAAAACAAAAAAAAAAAAACATATGATAGACTGTATTCTATGTAAACATTCCACCAACTGGCATTTGTGTTCGTTAGCTTGCGTTCGAGTAATAAGCAAAAGTTGTCTTGAAAATTTTCATTTGATCATATTTTGTCTTTTGTTACGTCATTTTTATGGTCAGTATATAGTAAACATTCTATATTCTAACGCCATTTTCGGAGTTATTACGTCATAAAAATTATAAAGTGACGTCACAATATGTATATATTTTTCTTTTCTTTGTTATGAGTTTGTTTGTTATGATATCAATAATTTCCGTAAAACGAATAATTTTTTTATTAAACAGTTGCCAGAACTTTTGAAATACCCCTCGTAAATTGTCTTATCTGAATAGGAATATTTTCTTTGTTATTAAGACTCATGATTTGAAAAAAATTAATTTTTAGAGGAAGTGGTATTTAAGTCTAGACGTGGTAATCCAAATTGTACCCAAGATTCTCTTTCTATGGAGGACATTTTTCAAAATCATATGTCAACCAAAGAAATTGAATTACAATACATATCTTTATTTGATGCTAAACTTCAGAAAAACCCTTAGAAACAAAGATACATGTCTGACCCCTGTAAATGTTCTTTCTAACCTCTTTTTTACTCCTCACTTAAAAATTAACAGCAGTGAAGAAAAACTTCAGGTGTACTGCAACAATATATTTGAGATGTGATATTCTAGAAGTGGTGTAAATCAGATGTAGATACTCAAAAATCCAAGAAACATTCGGAAAATTTGAACTCATTAAATTTATTATGAATCAATAATATCAAAACTTAATTACGACTTTTCAACTTATAGACTATCATTCCTAACGATAAATTAAACCCCTGGCTTTCCGACATGAGGGACAGCTGCTTTTTTATTAAAAAAAAATAATCATAAATTTTACCTTTTTTGTCAGTGGTCATTTGAAAGCAGTCACAAAAGTATTCTTAATTTAATATAAAAATGATGCTAGAGTTTCTCATTGACAAGACATACATGTATCTATGTGGTTTTTGGAGACCAATTCTTCTAACAATCTGTTGAAACATTCCATGAGAAGCAAATTGCGCTAAATCATATTTATAAGGAGAACTATTTTCGTATTTAAATGAAGCTAAATTTTTTCAAAATTTGATACACGAAAAAACCATACCTTGTGGTCCACAAGTCGACATTTAAGAAAGATACACAATAGTCTTAACTACGAAAGCCCAGAAGGCTCATTCGAGATTCGAGTTTCAAAATACGAGATTCAAAATTCGAGATTCGAAATTCGAGTTTCGAAATTCAAGATCCAAGCTAACCAATCAAAAGTGGATTCAACATTCGAGATTCGAGTTTCGAAATACGAGATTCGAAATTCGAGATTCAAAATTCGAGTTTCGAGATTCAAGATCCAGACTAACCAATCAAAAGCGGGTTCAACATTTGATTACTTCCCTTAATTATGTTTTTACT